GCGTCCGTTGGTCCTGTCTGTAACGCATCATAAAATGGTGCGTATTTTTGTAGACTTGGTGTTTGTATGGCGAGCGCGATTTCTTTTTATTCCTGGTCGTGGATTTCTTGAAAAATCCAGTATCCACAGCTTTGCGATGCCAGCCGCAGCGAGCCAGGTCGGGCTCATCCTCGTCGCGACGCTCGTCGTCTACTCGTCCGTCGTCCTCGCCCGCCAGCGCAACTTTGCGCGCAAGCCCAGGAAGACGCTCTCGCGCCTCGACACCGACGCGCCGCTCCGGCCACAGCCCTACGCGACCCCCGCCCGCTCGGTCGACAACCACCTCGTACGACCATGGCCATGAATGGCGAGACTCATGCGCGTGCTAGCACAAAACCGCTGTGACGCTCATGCACGAGCTCGGCATCTCGATGGCCGGCCTCTCGCCGCTGCGCCGACGGCCGTCGATTGCATCGTCGAGTATCTTGACGTCCGAGGTATGCCCTCCGCCTTGCCGATCCCATGCCAGCAATGGTGCATAGGAGTACGACAAAAAGACGGACCTCATGCACGAAGGGCGCAACCAAGGTGGGAAGCTGGTCGTCGTCATGGTCGGCTTGCCTGGCCGCGGCAAGTCGTACATGGCCCGCAAGGTGCTACCTCCTGAACACGAAGTGTCAAGTCTCATGCAGAAAGCAGGTCGCTCGGTACCTCAACTGGATCAACTACGCGACGCGCGTCTTCAACATTGGCAACTACCGGCGCAAGCTCCTCGGCGCGGAGCACGGCGCCGACTTTTTCGACCCGCAAAACCCGTTGGGGCAGAAGCAGCGCATGGAGATGGCCGAGGCCGCGATGGACGACATGCTCAACTACCTCAACAACGAGGGCGAGGTCGCCATCTACGACGGAACCAACTCGACGCTCGAACGCCGGCTCTGGATCGAGGTGCGCTTCCGATGCCATCGGAGGTTGACCTATCAAGTTGATAGAAACGGATCGCCGAGACCGACGGCTTCCACCTCCTCTTCATCGAGAGTGTCTGCGACGACGAAGCCATCATCGAGCGCAACATCATGTACAGTGGCATCTTTCGTAGTTAGTAGTTCATATCGACTATGCGTAGCGACACGAAGCTGCGGTCGCCCGACTACCGTGGCGTGACGCCCGAGATGGCGGTCGAGGATTTCCGGAAACGCATCGCCAACTACCGTAAAAACTACGAGGCGCTCGGCGCCGCCGACGAGATTTTTTCCTATGTCAAGGTGATTGACGCCGGCACCAAGGTACGAGCGACTATTAGTTAGTATATCTCACACGTGTCGTCGCTAGCTCATCATGAACCGCATTCACGGGTACCTCCCGATGAAGATCCTCTCGTTCATCAGCAACTTGCACATCGTGCCGCGACCCATTTACCTCTCGAGCCACGGTGAGAGCATGAACGACCTCAGCGCGCGTCTCGGTGGCGAGGCCGAGCTCACGCCCCGCGGCGTCGAGTACAGCGTGTAAAGCTAGCCAACGCATCTCGTTCTCGATCTGATAGAGCTCGTGACTAGGGCGCTCGCCAAGTTCTTATCCGAGAACCCGGAAACGGCGCCGAGTGCGCTGAGCCTCTGGTACTCGACGGCCAAGTGCGCGCGTGCGACAGTCCGCCACATTGAGAGCCACACGCGCGTGCAGTGGCGCGCCCTCCGGCCGCTCGAGGCCGGCGCCTACTCGCACTTGACCCGCTCCGAGCTCAAGCTCCACCACGCCCAGTAGGCCTCTGTGAAAATGACTACGAAATTACTCATGTAAACCTAGGGAGTACGCGATGCGCGCTGCCAACCGCCTCTGGTATCGGTACCCACTGGGCGAGAGCTACGTGGACGTCATCACGCGCCTCGAGCCCGTCATCTTTGAGCTCGAGCGCAGCCGGTCGCCGGTGCTCCTTGTCGCGCACCCCGAGGTCATCCGGTGCCTCTACGGCTACTTCCTTGACCTGCCGCTGCTGGAAATCCCCAAGGTGCACGCGCCGCTCCACGAGCTCATCGAGTTGCACATGACGGCGTACGAGTGCGTCGAGACGCGCCATTGCCTCACGCCCATCAAAGCCCACGATCTCGAAGCCTAAGTCGTACCAGTCGTTTTCATGTATTAAAAGACGATGCGGGTGCCAGCGTACGCCGTCTTGAGCGTCGGCGTCGCGCGGGGCGGGCCGACCGACCGCGCGGCCGCGGCGGCAGCGACGTTGGCTTGGATCTCGGCGAGCTCGGCAAGGCGCCGGGCCTCAAAGCTGGGCTCGGCAAGCTCAACGCGCAGTCGCTTGCCCTTCCACTTGGTGTTGTTGTACGCTTGTTGGTATTGGGCGACGGCCGCGGCCTCGGCCTCGGGCGACGGACCCACGAGGTTGATGTAGCAAAAGTCGCGGATACCGCGGCCCTTCTCGCCGAGGAGGACCATATCGATGGCCTCGATCGTCACGCCCGCGATCTTGCCGAAGCGCATGCGCAGGTCGGCCTCCGTCACGTCCGGTGGCAGACCGCCGACGTAGACCCGGGCGACCATGTTGCGTGAATAAACCTGGTCGTGTATGATTGGTGCAAACCTTGATGCTGCTTCATTGGCTGGAAATATTTGAAATCCAGCGACTTTTGGCCAATCCAACTTTGTGATACGGTAGAAGATCGGGGGATCCCGTGGTCCTGTCTGCAGCGCGTCTAAAGCCCACTCTTGAGGTGCAAGCCGCTTCAAGATGTAAAGACTCGGGCCAAGAAGGCCAGAGGAAATCGGGTGCTCCGAGAGGGTTGCGCCCAGGGGTGGTTGCGAAGAAACGAGAAGGCCGCACCCAACCAGATCATCCCACTTGAAGTAGCTTGCAGCATGATACAGATGAACTGGCGTATAAATTAGAGCTATAAGAAATGGGGTTGGGGTTGTACGCCTACGCTTGCATCCACGGGTGCGAGAGGACGCTGGTAGCGCTTGGGCGTTGGCATGCGTCGACCTGGAGCAGTTGCCGGATGAGGTCCTTGGCGTCGTTCGAGACATCGGTCCAGGCTTCATGGTTGAAGTCATACTGACCGGCAATGATGCACTCGCGCAAGTCGCGGTCCGACGCCTCGTTGGTCGGGTCGAACGGGTGGAACCCGGCGAGGAGCACGTAGAGCACGACGCCAAGCGCCCACATATCGATGGCGCTGCTGATCGTCTCCTTCTTGAGCACCTCAGGCGCAGCGTACGCCATGGTGCCCGAGCCGTCCCAGCGGTGGTTGGATGTCCGGTCGTTGACGTGGAACGAGAGACCAAAGTCGATGAGGATCATGCGCGCCGAGTCGTTCTTGGACTGCAGCAAGATGTTCTCGGGCTTGACGTCGGCGTGGACGACGTTTTGCGCGTGCAAATGCTGCAGCGCGGACGAAATCTCGCGCATGAGCGCCTTGGCCTGCGCTTCCGAGTACGTGCCGTGGCTCAAGAGGCGGTCAAAGAGCTCGCCGCCCTGGATGTACTCGGTCACGAGCACGTAGTCTTCCGGCGTCTCAAAGGCCTCTTTGAGCTGCACGACGGCGTCATTGCCTTGCACTTGCGTCAGAATCGACACCTCTTGCTCGAAGCGTGCTTTCGACGTCAGCGCCTTGGAGAGCTTCTTGATCGCGACTGGCGTGTCCGATAGCTTCTCGCGGCCAGCGCAGACGCGCGCAAAGCCGCCCGAGCCAATGATGCCGCCGACGTGGTACTTGGTGCTGAGCGGGTCCGGCTTGAGAAGCATGGCGGCTTCCGCCTGCGCGAGCGGCTTGGGCTCGGCGAGCGACGACAGCAGCGCGAGGCCAAAGACGCTGCCGCCAAAGAGGGTCGGGCCGACGCCGGCTTGCGTGTGCTGGCGCCGGCGGTGGCCCGCGGTCGGCTTAACCAAGGCGGCGCGGAGCGTGCTGGCGCGGCCGAGCATCGTGGTGATATGCGTCGAAGTAATGAAGTTGGACAATGTCGGCCCACGGGCGTGCCCGCTCCATTAAATGCCAGAATCAATTCAGCTATACAATTTAGCTGGGTGCCCGCATAATTTTATTCTTGTGGGCGGAGAAGCTGGCCGGGGTGCATCTGGGTTTGTCACACGCGACGTGCAGCCAATCAGATCGCACGGGCCTGGCCCCTGCATCCGTAATGAGCCAATCCCAGCGCGCTATCTCGGTTAGCTGGCCAATCCACAACGCCTGTCATCGGCCAGCGTGACCCGCCGGTGTCATGCGCAGCTCCGTGCCATCTCCGTGTCCCTTGCCAAGATTCGCGACAGGTCTCTGCGCTGGGACCAAAGAAGGATATCAGCTTAGCTCGGTTGTCGCGCGTCGCCAACGAGGCTCTGCAGATACGCAGCATCTGTCTTCGACGTCACCGCCGCCACGAACGCATGCAGCGGCGGCGGCCACTGGGCCACGGCTGTGAGCGCCCGCGAGCTCGTGCTGTTCAGGGCCAGCGCTGCATCAAGCGCTTGCTTGCTCTCGTCGAGCTGGCCGAGGTGTCGGAGCGTGTCGCTGAAACAGACCCACGCGTCGCTGGTCGAGTGCTTGGCGCGGCGGAGGCCAAAGAAGAGCACGTTGTAGGCCAAGAGGTACTGCCGCGCCTGGAGCGACCGCTTGCCCAAATCGAAGAGCGCTTCGTTGGTCGTCGTTTTCCGGCGGGTGGCCTTGAGCAGCGACATGGCCGTCACCAAGCCTAGACCAAAAAACACTCAACAAGTAGTACTATTCGCCGAGAAGCAACTACACCTTGCTTGCAGTCGGCTGCGTTGCCCAAGCCATGGTAGCAGAGCGCGCAGAGGAGCGTCATGTCTGCGGCAGAGTACGCGACGGGCGGCGCGTCCATGAGCAATGTGAAGCGGCGCAAGCTCTCCGAGCACCGGCGAAGATGCAGCAGTACCACGCCTACAAAGATATCAATTAACGCTGCTACTTCAAGCGTGGTGCACCTGTCCAGAGCAGCACCAGTGGGATCTGGTCGAACGTTGGGTACAAACTAAGGAGGTGCTGGAGCAAGTCGAGGCCCGGGGCATACTCGCGGCTTTCGATGAGCACGAGCGCAAAGTCAAAGAGGATGTGCGGGTCCTTGATGCTCGTATCGCGCGCGAGCCCGGCCTTGTAGCTGGTGTAGGCCTTTTGCAAACTCAACTCATCGCAAGCGACGTGCCACGCTGTGTGGTGGCTCTCGCCCATCGCGAGGAGCACTTTGGCGCTTGGTTGCCCGCCGTGGCGCATGCCGCCTACAACGTAGAGCTTATTCGAGCCCATGCTTCCAGCTACGTACGCTCAAAGCAGAGCGCGGCGGTCCAGAGCTCGCCGCGACTGTGCCAGTACGTTCCGAGATCGAGAAAAAGCTGCGCGGGTGTCGCCGTCGCCGGGTCAAACTCGATCGCGTTCAGAGCGCGCACCGCCGTGAGCTACTCGCAGGTGAGCCAACTCTCTCTGAGCCAATACTCGACCAGAGCGAGGCGGCTCTTCTCGCGGCGAAGGAGCCGACGCACGCGCCAGCGCTGGGCAAAGCGAGAGAGGACGGTGCTGGCCTGTGCCAGCCGTCGGCAGCGCGCTCGGTACCGACGCCATGCGCGCTGGAGCCGGCGGGCGCTGACTTGCCGCGGGTTTTGCAAGTACCGGCGACGGCACACGTGCATGCGCCATTGCGCCTGTATACAAATGGCGCCGTGGACCCGGAGACTGATGTACGGTAGGACGTCGTCGACGAGGAAGACGCCGATGCGCGCCCGGGCCTTGGCCACTCGCTTGGTGTGGAGCAAAGCGACCTATCGCCAGAGCCATCGCACCACAGAAGCGCAGCGTCACGAGTTGTACTTTGGCGTCGTGGGCGCGCTGGGATTGAAGCAGGCGAGCCGCCGAAGCTTCTTTGGACTGGCGGTGGTGCCACCTGTCGAGGACCGAGCGAAGAAAGTGGTTGATCACCGTGGCCGCCAGGGTTTGTGACTGGAGGTCGGCGCGGGCTTGGAGACATCGCCGGTACCAGCGCTGTAGCCGGCGCGCGGCTTGGCTCTCACGACTCGCGCGAATGAGCTCCACGTGTCGTTGCTGCTTTCGGCGCTTTGTGGCTTCGTTCGTTGCTGTCTGAAGCTGCAGCTGCGCCTGCACGATCAAGGCCGCTGTGCGTCGTCAGCGCGACGCTTCAAAGACGCTGCGTACCTGGATTCACGGGCTCTTCGGGCACGACAGTCGGGTCTGGCACGGGTGATGCGGGCACGTCACTAGCTTCGACGGACACGGAAGGAGGCTTCTTGGGCAAGTACCATTCGTCGTCGTTCTCGGGCGCGTCTTGGTATTTCAGGTGCCAGTCGCCGAGCCGAGCCTCCTCCTCGGGCGTGAGCTCGTGCATGACGGTCGCTCGGACGCGGCTCGCGATGGATCCCAGCACAACTGCCTTGCGCGGCGGGTGTTGGCGCCGGTAGTGGAGCATCGCCCACGCAACGCGCCGAAACTTGCCCGACGCGCGCCGGCGATCGCTACGGTCGTCGTCCCGAGGCGCTAATGCCGGAGCTACGCGCCGAGCGGGTTTGGGTAGCGGCAGCGCCCGGCGCTTGGCGTATTCAAGCGTCGAGAGTGCTGGCTTTGGCGCATGCGTCGATGCAGATGGAGCGTGGCAAGTGGTGCAGCACCAACGCGGGTTGCGGTAACTCGGGTTCGCCAGCAGCGCCGGTTCAAAGCAGTAGGTGTGGCGGTGCAGCCCACAAACAGCACAGTGCACTAAGAGCTTGGCGTTGACATCGCTGTGGCACTGCTGGCACGGCTCCCGCGCATCGCGTCGCAGGACGGCCAAACCGGCGCCAGCGAAACCGTCCATCATTCCATTGTGAACCCGCCTTTCGTCACTGCTGTTGGACTAACGTAGCGAGCAAGTGATGTACAGAATTTATGATTTAGGCGACGAGGGTGCGGAGCTCGGTGCCCCACGGGTCGCCGCTGTGGTTCTGGCCCGACGGTGGCGGTGCGTCGTGGTCAAACGCTGCTTGAATCTCGACCGCCGTGCGGCCGTTGGTTTCCGGAACGTACACATAAACAAAGAGCACGAAGCCGACCAAAAGTGCCGCAAAGATGCTAAAGGCGTAGCTACCGAGTGCGTTGCCTTGGGCGAGCGTCGGGTACAAGAGGCCGACGAGCAGGTCGCCGAGCCATGTCGACATGGTGCCAAGAGAACCGGCAGTCGCCTGCATGTAGTCGGGGAAGATCTCGGACGAGACCGTCCACGCCATGGGGCCGATCGAGAGGCAGAAGCCGACGACAAAGACGCCGGTGGCCACAATCGCACCGAGGGCGCTTCCGCACACGAGACTCGCGACGAGCCCGACGGCGGCGAGGGCCTGCAGCGACATGCCGCGCAGGAGGAGCGTGCGGCGCGGGTACTTGTCCATGACGGCGGCCGCGACGCAGATGGTGCTGGTGCGCACGACGTTGACGACGGTGTTGCCGACGCGCGGGTCCGCGATGCCGGCTCCCGCAAAGATATTGGACGAGTAGTACATGATCGCCGGTATGCCGCAGAGCTGCTGCGCGGCGCAGAGCACGATCGCGATGATTAGCTGCTGGCGGAACGGCGCCGAAAAAAGGAGGGCGCGGGGGTTGCGCCCGTTGAGCTCGGTCGCTTCGTCGGCGTGGGCAGCCGCCAGCGCGTGCAAGATCGTGTCGACGTCCATGGTCTGGTAGAGGCGCGTCATTTCGGCTTTGGCGTCGTCGAGGCGGTCGTGGGCCACGAGCCACACGGGGCTCTGCGCCATGACGCGGAGCGAGAGTAGCTGGAGGCCGCCGAGCACGACGGGGACGCCCATGAGCAGCCGCCACCGAAGCTCGCTGTCGTCAAGGGCGTAGTGTGCAGTCGTGACGGCGAGCGAACCGAACGCGACGCCAACCTGAAGGCCCGTGAGGAACGTGCCGCGCATCTGCGACGGCGAGATCTCCGAGATGAGCGCTTCGCAGACGTTGATGGCGACACCAGACGCGACGCCGGACACGAGCCGTCCGACGGTAAAGGTCTCGAGGGTCGTCGCTAGACTTTGGATGAGACCGCCAAAGACGATGATGAGAGCGTTGACGCCTAGCGTCTTCTTGCGGCCAAAGATGTCGGCGGGTAGGCCGCTGCAAATGGCCCCGACGGCGCCGCCGGCGATCCACGCTGCGACCGCGAGCGTCCACTTGTTCTCCGAGTGCGGAGGAAAGAGGAGGCAGTCGCCGGCTGGGATCGGGCTCGCGCCACAGTTGGCGTTGAACGGGACGTAGTTGAGCTGCGAGAGGAGCCAGCCAAACTGGAACGCGCTGAGGAGCGCAATGCCGATCGTCGCGTAAAAGACACTCGACGGGCGCATCGCGTCTGCGTGCTCGTCGTGGACCATCGACTCAAGCTTGCTCAGGTGGTAGCGCGCTGTCTTGGCCCGGTGCCGGCGCCAGGAAGGGCCGTGCGAGGCGGCGGGCGGTGTCATGGACATGGGCGCGAGCGAGACAGGCGTGTCGGCCGCCACGTAGACGTCGTAGGCTTCGTCGTCGTCGTCGTCGTCATCCGACTTGGAAGGGTGCTGCACCGACGAGGGCGGCGGCGACGACCGCCAGTACCGGTAGTGGAAGAGCTGGCCCAGCGTCTCGGAGACGGTCATCTTGAAGTGCTGTAGAGGATACGAGCTGGGACTGCTGCGAAAACGAGCCAATCCAAAGTCTTCTTGTTAGCGATTGGAGCATTATCGTCGTCATTTCCGTTTTTCTCTGCGCAACGATTGGCCAGTGGGCTCGACGCGATTGGTGATTGGCCGAAATGGATTTGCAGCGCCTCTGTCAATGACAGGGCAGTTGATGGTCCGAGTAGCCGAGGACCAGTGAGTCCGAAAATCGTGCTCGTTGAAGAAATCTCCGCTCGTGCTGGTTCCGTGCGTACGTATAGGCCAAGCTCCAGCTAGATTCGGGCGCTGTTGTCTCGATAGCTCTGCACACACTCAACTAGGGTCGTTCGTCGGTAGCGTATTGAGCACAAAATGGCACAAGATTCCACCGGTAGATTCAACAGCGTCTGCGGGCTCTTGCACTTTTTGAAGTTCTGAAAGCAGCACAGCCGTGGCGGGCTCGACGGGGAACCTGGGCTGGTTTCATAGCGGGACCCATAGGATGTATGCGGGTACTAAAGCTAGTATCGATTGCGCGTCCTGAAGGAACTGCCGCGAGCGTGAGCGGAAGAAGGTTCCGAGCACTCGCCAATCTGAGCCTTGGAGACATAGGGAAATGCCGATCCAGACGCATCTCTGGCTGCCATCGAGCCGGGTACCAGATATCCGGTGCAGCTTCCAGAACGCATAACCAGTTTCTAGTCGAATGGGAAACTCGCAGAGTCGTCGATATGTCAGGGGAAGGAAAGAGCCCGCCGCTCGACACGCCCGCGTTTGAGCGCAAGATGCAGTCGCTGGAGAGCAAGCACGGCAGCGCGCAGTCGCTCATCACGCTCGACGTCCGAGAAGCCGAGACGCCGTCGCCGCCGCCGCCAGCTCCGGCGACCGACTTTGCCGCGGGCTTTGGCATCGGGCTCTGCATCATGTTTTACGCCTTTTGCGCCCGCCGCCCCGACGACGCTCTGCGCAGACCGTGCACGCAATATGGTCTCGCAATCGGGATGCTGGCCGCCGCTGCGCTTCTCTCGTGCGGTCTCTACTACGCGGCGCAGCTCTACTTTGTCTAGCTAATTAAATTAAACGCACAATATTATCGTCATTTCGGATCGCACGCAGGCCAATGAAACCGCGTTGTGCCCAAAGGTCATGTCACGCAAGCAGCCGCCGCCGCCGCTTGCGCCGAGCTTGACGGCCGCGATCATCGCGTCATACAAGGGCGAGCGCCTCAGCAAGTTCTACCATGGGACGGGCACGGCCACGTTCATCAACGGCCAAGTGTACGCCGGCACGTTTTGGATGGGCCACATGCACGGGAAAGGCCGCATCGTGTGGCCGGACGGCATCGTTTACGAAGGCGACTTTGACTACGACGAGCTCAGCGGCCACGCCAAGTACAGTTGGCCCGACGGCAGCGTCTACGAGGGCGGCGTGCTTCACGGCCTGCGCCACGGCCTTGGCCGCTTCAGCCAAGGCGACGTCGCGTACGATGGCGAGTGGGTCGACGGCCGCGAGCACGGCGTCGGCACCAAAGTCTACGACGCGACCAAAGGCATTGCGTACGAAGGCGACTGGAGAGACGGGCTTCGCGACGGCGCCGGCATCATGCGCTACGGGAAAAAGCTCGTCTACAAAGGTACTACATGAAGACACTTAGGCGAGGCGTGACGCAGATGCAGGCAGTTGGATCCGCGACATGAAAACTGGACGGGGGTGCATGCAGTGGCTCGACCGGGCAGAGACGTACGACGGCGGGTGGCTCGAGGACCACCAGCACGGGTTCGGCGTACACACGTGGAAGGTCGGGAAGCTCAAGAACCGCGAACACCGTTACGAAGGCGAGTTTGCCAACGGCGTCCGGGACGGCTACGGCGTCTTCTACTACGCCAGCGGCGCGCGCTACGAAGGCCACTGGGAAGACAACGTCAAGCACGGACTCGGGCTCTTCTTCTTTGAAGATGGCACGATTTATGAAGGTACAAACCCTTCTTTCAACGAAAAGTATCAATCTATCGAGCAGGCCAATTCGACAACGATCACATGGTTGATGCCAACGACAACAAGCCCAAAAACGCAGAGCTAGCGCCAACGATGATCTTATATGTGGACGACCTGGTCAAGGGCACGGAAAAAGAAAAGGCGCGGGGGGTCAAAGCCGCTCAAAACGCCGTACGCTCCTTGCAGAAAATCCCTTCATCGCCAAAGGTAGGTGCTTCGGGCCAACACGGACTTGCGCCTTGTCTACCGGCACTATGCCACGCGGGCGGGGGCATCAGCAGTGCTCACGTCGGGGCCCCCGACGTCCGACAACCACTTGGATCTGATGGAGATGCGGGAGCTCTGGCGGTTCAGCGCCGAGTGCCGACTGCACAACGTGACCATGGGCAAGCTCGATCGGTACCTCCTCGTGATCCGCAACGCGCAAAACAAGGCCGTCAAAAAGCTGCGGATCCAGCGCGAGAAAAAGGTACTGGCAAACTAAAAGGGGTGGTCCTAAGATCGGAGTTGGGTAGCGCCGACACGTGCACCCTCGCTCGATCGACGCGATCGAGACGCCGCGGGAAAAGTGGACCGACGTCCACGACCCGGACCGTGTCATTTTGTACCGCGAATTCTGCGAGATTCTAGTTCGCCTTGCGTGGGATGACGCACTGGAGCGGGGCGAGGTGTCGTCTTCTTCCGGACAAGTTGTAGAAACTGAGCGTAGGTCGACATGACGGTCGCCGACGCGTTCACGTGCCTCTACGAGGACAAGATCCACGACCACGCATCGGCGCGCATCGAGCCCATGGAGGCGCTGAGCCTCGAGGTGCTCGACGCACCGCTCCAAGCCATCTTCCGCAAGTACCGCGACACGCTCGAGCCGATTTTTGCCAAGTACGCTCGCCTCGACAGCGATGTGGCGCAGCAGCCCGAGAACGACATTCACATCTCCGTGCGCAGCTTTGTGCTGCTTTTGCGCGAGTTTGGCGCCATGGGCACCATGAGCGTCTCGGCGCTGCTGGCGCTGGTGCGAAAACCCTCCGAGGACGACGAGAGCGACGACGACGAGCTCGACCCGTTCGTGCTCGAAGCCGACCTGATCTACCCCGAGTTCCTCGAGGCGCTCACCAAAGTCGCGCGCGCCGTCATGGGCGTGCCCAGCGTCCCGCTGCCCGTGACCGTCGCCCAGTACATCCACGCCACCTTCCTCCGCGACAAGGCGCCGCAGTACTTGCGCCGCAACTCGTTTACGCGCCGGCAGTCGTCGCTCGTCTTGGGCCCCGTGCAAGAATAACATCATGGACAAGTTGTGCATAATTACCGGCGACCCGTGTGGAAGCGGTGCAGAATACCGAGGTAGATGCCTTGGAGCGCGAGCGCGTACGAGGCGAGGACGAGCATGTTGCGGTCGCAGTCGACGTCCTCGAGCCCGTAGCGCGCAAAGAGGAAGCGGCTTTCGCTCGAGTTGGTCGGTGTGAGTTGCTTGTACAAGAAGGCCTCGAACGAGTACGAGTGGAACGCCATGTAGTGGCCCCAGAGCCAGTACGACGGCATCGCAGGCCGCGGCACCATAAAGCCCTCGCAGAGCATGAACATCCCTAGTATCAAGTTGATATTGTATCAAGATGGCGCGCAATGTCGTACCGTAAATCCCAGACGCGAGGGCGATGCCGACAATGTACTGGGGCACCATGGCGCCAATCACGTGCATGAAGGACTCGGCGACGACGAGCGTGAGGAAGAGGTTGAGCACAAAGTAGCCAAAGTTGTGCAAGTCCGCGAGCAGCACCACAATCGACGCGGAGAGGAGGGTGATAAGGAAGATGCCGGGCAGCGCCGCGACAAAGTTGGCACCGACGGCACTCGCGACGGCTACGTTGTGGTTGGCGCGCTCCCGCGCAAACACCTAGAAATGTATCAACTTGATACAGAGTAGTCTATGTTGTACCGCGCGCTGCTGGATGAACACGGGCAAAACGGCGATGCTCATAAAGACGAGGAACGCTTGCACGTAAATCAGGAGCGCGACGCGATTCCCTTCGTTGAGGTTCGCGTTCGTCGAGATGAAGAGCGTGCCCGTCGTGAGCGACAGAGCCGTGTACATCGCCAGACGCACCCAGTACACGCCGGGGTCCCGCACGTTGTTGATGCTCGTGCGATGCAGCAGGGCGAGGCCTTGCGCAAAGGCGGACGCGCCGTCGTCACTTGCCGTGATACCAAGCAAGCTGGCGCGGTCCATCTCCAGCATGTCCTATTGCTCGTTACAACCAAGGATCAAAAGTTAAGTGGAAAGCAGGTACCAGCACGGGGCGCGGGTCATATGCACTGGCGAGCGCCAGTACGTCAGCGTGGCCATCGAAGTCGTCGTTGACCAGCTCGAGGTAAAACTCGGCGGGGTTGGTCATGGGCGGACAGGGGTACCCCGCGGCTGCAAAGTGGCTGAGCGCGCCGAGGGGTGGGCCGAAATACATGGTGCGGCCGGCGGCAAGGACCAGCACAGACGTAAACAAGTCGTACACGTCGGAGCTCGGCTGGTGGATTGTGCAGAGCACAGTGCAACCTCGGTCGGTACTGATGTGGCGAAGGTGTTCGACGACGCTGACGGTCGACGCCGCATCGAGGCCCGACGTCGGCTCGTCTAGCAGTAGGATCGTCGGCTCCTTCTACACACTCCCATAGATCGCAATATTCAATAGGGCAGTTCCTACGAGGAGCTCGATCGCGATGCTAAGACGCCGCTTCTGGCCGCCCGAGAGCCCTTTGCGAAAGATGTCACCAACGCGCGTGCCGACGCAGGACGAGAGGCCTACGAGAGCTTAAACACACTATTTGTTGGAGTAGGAGGAGCCCACCCATATCCTCGATGGCGGCGAGCACCCGAGTCTCGCGTGTTGACGCTGATACGGACGACGGGAGGCTCAGCTGCGCGGCAAAGCGCAGCGTCTCGAGGACCGTAAAGGACCCGAGAAGCGCGTCCTCTTGCGCGACGTACGAGGCGAGTGACCGAAAGCTCCGGTGGTCGCGCGGCTCGCCGTTGATTTCGATCGCGCCCGTCGTCTTGCCGCTCGAGATGCGGTCGGCGAGCAGGTCCAAGAGGGTCGTCTTGCCGCTCCCGGACGGGCCGAGGATCGCAAGCATTTCGCGGGGCCCACATCGCCCCGACACGTCGACCAGAATGGACTTGGGCTTGTTGCGCGTCGTCACCGTGTACGAGAGGTGGCTCCAGCCAAGCGTGCACGGCTGTGCCGCCTCATGCCACGTGGGCGTGAGCAAGCCTTCTTTGAAGCTCGTGGCGACGGGAGATTCGAGCAGCATGCAGTCTGATTTAGTGTGATGCCTTGACTCAATCAACGAACATTGAATGGTGATCCTTTGAACACATGACTACCATGATGAGCGATGGCGTCGGATGCGTCGACAAGATCTCCGCCGCCGCTTCTGATTGGTCGGCAGCCCCACGTTGAAGTTGCCCGTGTACACCATTTGCAGTTTCTCTAAATAATGTAAAATGTAAAGAAATGGAATCGTGCGCTTATAGACACGGTGTGCGCCGTACGCGGTTGCCTTCTGAGTGAAATGCAATTACAAGTGTACGTACCAAGAGTCTATCTCGTGTGGGCCTTACAGTGCATGGTAGAGATGTCGCGACAATCGCAACATTATACTATTTTCACCTTCAACAGAAAATACTAAAAAATAGTGTACCCGCCGCCACCAAAGATCGCCATGGGTTCGAACATGAGCTCAGTTCTGATTTGCAATCATGTGGAAGCGCAACGAGACGCTGCCAGCGTGCACACTGAGCTGGAAAGACCTCTCGTATTCGGCTCGCTCCAAGAAGGCGATCCTGCACGACGTCTCGGGGCGCTGCGGCCCCGGCGAGTTCCTCGCGATCCTCGGCCCTTCGGGAAGTGGGAAAACAACTCTGCTAGACCTCCTCGCCGACCGCATCTCGAGTGGCAAGACGACAGGCGCCATTGTTCTCAATGGTCTGCCACGTGAACCGAGGTCGTTCCGAGCCGTCGCCTCGTACGTCGCCCAGGACGACACGCTTCTCGGATCCTTTACGGTCCTCGAGACACTTCAGTTTGCCGCGCGCCTGAGCTTGCCTTCGACCGTATCGCCCGCCGAGCGCGACACCCGACTGCAGCGCGTCATCGACGCCATGGGTACGTCTGTCGTTTTGTTGGAATCGCTAAAGCAACGCGCTAGGGCTCCGGTCGTGCGTGCACACGCTCGTGGGGGACATGTTTCGCAAAGGGCTCTCGGGCGGCCAAAAGCGACGCCTCAGCATCGCGATCGAGCTCCTCGTACATACCCTCTACATTTATATCATTCCTTTTAGCAATGCGCCATAGAAACAGCCCCGCGTGCTCTTGCTGGACGAGCCGACGTCCGGGCTGGACTCGGCGACAACACTCAACGTCGTTCAGTGCATCGCCAGCCTCTGTCGCGACGACCGCTGCACCGTAATCTGCACGATCCACCAGCCAAGCGCACGCGTCTTCCAGCTCTTTGACAATGTGCTCTTGCTCGCGCAGGGCCGCGCCGTGTACCGCGGGCCGCCGCAAGCGATCGTTGCGCACTTTCGCCCCCTCGGGTTTCCTCACGTCGTGGTTCTGAATGGCTGAAGTGGACGTGAGTAGGTACGACTGCCCCGAGCACACGAGTCCCGCCGAGTACTATTTGCGCATCGTCAACACGGACTTTCACAGCCACGCCGACATTGACGCGCTCGCAGATGCAGTCGCCAACACCGCCCTCCACGTACGACGCCACTAGCTTCCTCTCTGGCGGACGCCGGTGTAGGACCAGTTGCTGCTCGAGGCGGCGGCGAGTGCGCCGTGGAGCGTGGCACCGCAGCGGCCGTCGCCGTTGGCGCAGATCGTCGTGTTTCTCGATCGCAACCTCTTGAACACACTGCGGAACCCGGGGATTTTTTGGGTCCGCCTCGTCATGTACTCGCTCCTCTCGGCCATGGCCGGCACCATGTACATGCACCCGACGCCCGGGCCGGCCCACGACGCCAACCTCGTCGCGCTCCTCTTTGGCGTGCCCGCGTTCTGTATCTTTATGAGCGTCGCCGCACTCCCCTTCTTCCTCGAACAGCGAGCGGTACGGTACCATCGAATATCTACTATCTCTCAGAACTGATACCATAGGTGTTTGCCCGTGAGCGCGCCAACTGGGGCGTCAACGTCCTGAGCTTTGTCGTCGCCAACTTTGTCGTCGCGCTTCCAGCTCTGTTTATGATTGCGCTCTGCAGCACGTCGCTGGTCGTCCCGGCCGCGGGCCTCGGCGGCTTTGGCGTGTACTTTGGCGCGTTCTACCTCGGCCTTATCGTCGCCGAGTCGGTCGTGCACGTGCTCGGCGCTGCCGTGGGCCATGCGATCGGCGGCATCGCGCTCGGCGCGGGTCTTTTCGGGCAGTTTATGCTGTGCCAGGGCTACCTCGTCGCGCGCGAGAGCATCCCAATTTACTGGCGCTGGTGCCACACGCTCGCGTTCCACTCGTACGTCTTTCAAGTGCTCATGCACAACGAGTTTGCCGGCCGGAGTCCGGCCATCCTCATCGAGTTCAACCTCGAGGACGTCGACATTGGCCGCTGCATAGGCGTCCTTGTCGCGTACGCGCTTCTGCTCCAAATCGGCTTTGGGCTCGTGCTCTACTTTGTTCACACCGGCCGGCGCTGATTCTCAAACCCGATCTTGCAACTACTAGTACCGGTATTTCGCTTCAGCACGATATGGTGTACATATGCACCTCAAATAGTATTTCGTTGAGGTGTCGACAATAAAGAAACGGGGATCTTAAAAGAACGCATAAAAGAACTCGCCAAAGATCGAAGCATCCGAAGATCCGAAGACGAGGACGATGGACCTGACCGCGGACGAGACGCTCGGGAGCTTCCTCCTCCCCGTGCTGCAGGACGAGGCCGACGCGCGCATGACGACCGACGACGTCCTCGACGACGCGGCGACGCCGGACCTGGCCTACTTCCACGACGAGGCCCGCGCGCTCCACGCCGACTTTGAGGCCTACCGCCTGCGCTACCACGCCATGTGCAGAGTTCTCTTCCCCCACGACGACGACGACGAAGATGAGGATGAGGATGGGGACGAGGGTGGGCGCTTGTACGCGGGCGACCGGCGCCGGGCGATGGCATGAGCCTCCTCCGCTCACTATTTGCATCAACATGATTTATGATTCCTTCCTCGATGGTCTTCGTCCATGCAGGAAGCAGCATGACCGTTGCATCATCTGCCGTTTCAGATCGTTTCCGAGATGGCGGCGCCGCAGTTCCCGCTGGACCCGAGCTTGGCCGCGCTCATCATTGCGAGCTACGAAGGCGAGACGCAGCATGGCGTCTTCCACGGGCACGGGTGCGCGACCTTTGTCAACGGCCAAGTGTATGTCGGGAGCTTCCTCGGTGGGCGCATGCACGGCCACGGCGCGCTCACGTGGCCCGACGGCGTTACGTACGAAGGCGACTTTGAGTTCAACGAGGTCTCGGGCCGCGGCAAGTACGTTTGGCCCGACGAGAGCTGGTACGAGGGCGACGTGAGCCGCGGGCGCCGGCACGGCCACGGCTACTTTATGAGCAGCAACCGCGTCACGTCGTACGAAGGCGCGTGGGTGCACGGCTACCAGCACGGCTACGGCAAGCTCGTCTACGACGAGTTCCAGGGCATCGAGTACGAAGGCGACTGGGTCACGGGCCAGCGCCACGGCAAGGGCACGATGAAGTACGCCTCGGGCAACGTCTACGAAGGTCTCCCTACTATCAAGTTGATACTATAGATATATGAACGTGTGGTAGGCGACTGGGTCGACGGCAAGAAGGCGGGCAAGGGCACGATGCACTGGTTCGACGCCGCCGAGACGTACGACGGCGACTGGCACGACGACGTGCAGCACGGCGC